CAGAAACAAAACAAAAAAACAAAAAGAAACAAAATAAAAACGAGGTTATCTTCTACAACCCCAAGAGAAAAAGAGATGGATGCGGACAGTAGAAACAAAAGGGACAAGACCGAGTTGCGCCTCAGCGCTGCAGTGGTGAGGAGGCGTGAAAATTAATACTAAAGGGGAAAGAGTAAAGAAAATTTTTTACTCCCTATTTTTTTTTTTTTATTTTTCTTCTCTCTTGGCCCCGCAGTCTCCCTCATTGTTTCCCCCAATCATGTTTACACACTCCCCTTTTCACCCCACACCCTAACGTTTCACGGTTTCCAAAAATCCGCATAATTCACCTCCTTACAGAGTTTGACTCCGTACTTGGCGAGTGCCTCATTCGCCGCCGCGACAATCGTAGTGGTGCCCTCCATTCCAAACTCACGACCCCACATGTTCTGTACAACACCACCGGCTTCCGTTACCAAAAGACTTCCTGCGCAAACATCCCATATCATGCCCGCAGGTTCCATGTACAGATCCACGCGCCCTGCGGCAATCTGTGCGAGAATAAAGGCACAAGCGCCATAGCTGCGGATGCCCTGCACCGGAATCAGAGCAAGCTCCTGGCGAATGTGCCCATTGGCATCAAGGGCTCTCTGGTGTTTTGCCTGCCGAAGGGTTTCCCATTGGGACTTGCAATTCGACATCTCTTCCATGGAAAGCTTGACACGTGTGGGACAATTAAACGTTACCAGAGAAGTTGTTGGCGCGACGTCTGCGGCAACACGGATGGCTTGGCCGTTGAGGAATGCCCCCTTCCCACGGATGGCGGTGTACAATTCCCCCACTGGGACGGCGGTGGGGCTCGAATCACACATCATATGGGGTGCGCTCCCAATAAAGGGACAGTACACAACCGCAAGAACTGTCCTTTTCTTAATGGTGAGGCCAATACTGACGCAGCACTCACAGCCCCCGTGTACAAAGGCCGTGGTGCCATCAATGGGGTCGACAATCCAAGTCGGGTCATCAGTCAGGGGCGTATCGGGGCTAATCTCCTCTGTTATAAAGCGGAACTGAAACAACTCAAACCCTGCCTTCTGTTTTTCATTCTCCACCTTTGCATCGTAGCGCTGCAGGGTTTTCATGATGGTCTCGTCGCAGAGGGTATCGTAGTGCGTTACAAGGTCGTTTGCGGCCGACTTCGACTTGATATCGAGCAGCTGCAGCGGGCTTGGCTTGAGCGGGGCGTCTGCCCCGCTGGGAGTCTGGAAGCTACCCTCCTTCGTTTCCCGCGTCACTTTCGCCGCGGTATCCTCCCGACGAAGTTGGTAAAATTCCCTCATGATGTCTCCGGCACTCCGCGCCGCCTTGATGGCCACACCAAGCGCCTTTTCCAGGTCAATGTACTCTTCCATCCCTGCAGATTCGATTACAAACAGTGACGGTGTAGATGACGAGACAAATAAACAAACGGGCAAACCCGGGTGGAGGAGATGGCTTACAGATAAATAGATGTGTGAAGTCGCTTTAAACTGTGTGGCGGGAGGAGAGAGAATAATAAAGAAAAATAGACCCCATTAAGCGGGGAAGGGCAAAGTATGAGGCGATTTGATTGGTGGCAATGCAGTGACACAAGCAGAAGGCAGACACCGCGCCCGCAGGCTGCACAAGACTACAAATACGCCGAGATGCACGACAACAACTTCCCCCCCCCCTTCTCGCCTTACCACCACCAAATGGGCAACCTCCCCTTGCTTAAAGCCAACCCAACAGACAACACAAGCTTAACCACGGAGACAGAGACCCTCTTGCCTCGTCCACAAAGAAAAGTAAACCACAACGACAAAAAAACACAGCGGTGACAATAATAATAATAATAATAATAACCGTGCTGAAGGAGAAGGGTACACACGCCATCGCACCTACTACCACCTATCGCACGGAAGAAGAAGAAGAAATGAGGGGGTGGAAAAACAAGTTGGGACACCGTTGCATACAGTGCCCGTGCCGTTGTACGCATACCGACAAAAGCATGTCTACATGCAAACCTCCTTTTTTTTTTCCCCCGTCTACACTTCCCTACTATTCTTTCCAGCATTGTTCTTCTTCTTCTTCACAAACGGCCACCATATCACTTATACACGGTTCTGTAGTATCGTACGGTGGGTGATAACACCAACAGGTCCCCGTTTTTCCATCCTCGTCCTCCCGCTTTGGAAGTACGTATTTCGTGCATGGTAGTGTAGTCCCCTGTGTGGAAGACAGGCCTGTCAACGCGTAAGACTGCCATATCTCTAACCTGTGGCTTCTTGTCAGCGTCAACAAACACATGGGAGACACGCACCTTGGCAACGGGCATAGGCGGCGGTCGCCTATTCCTCCGCTGACTCCATGGTGTGGCCGACGAAGTACCCGTTGGAGGCTCCTGCGTATTCTCCCCCTCGGTGCGTACACGTTTGGCGTCCGATTCCCCTTCCGCCACGTCTCCGTTAACGGACTCATTCCCCTCATCAAATTCAACCGACGCACTATCAGCATCTTCCGCTTCCTCCCTCAACCCACTGTTATTATTACCATTATTCTTCTCTTCCTCTCTTCTCACCGTCGTTCCTATTTTCTCTTTTCCAGTGGTGGGAGATGGCTTATTTGCCTCCCTCTCCCTCTCCACAACAGGGAGGGCTGAGGTGTTGGAGGGCAGCAGTACCTGCTTGGCTGCCGCACTCGTGGCCAACACCTCCTCCAGTATCTCCCTCAGTGTTGTGTCCTCCCAAACGTAGACGTCCATTCTAAAAAGCGAGGGGATGACTGTATCACTCGTTGAGTTCAGCCCGGGCGAAGGCACAGACCCATCCTCCGCTGCCTCGCAACTTCCAGTGTCGTTTACAAGCAGCGCTATGGGCTGAAGAAATGCAGTGGGCTCCACCATATGGGGGTCAACCACAATAATGACGGAGAGATTGTGCGGCACCGCCTTGGGACTGTGCCGGTTGACCACATACCGCTGCGGTGGGGCAACCCAAAAGGCGCTGCGATCGCTTCGCTGGCGCCCACGACCTGTGTCTTTCCCCAGTGCCTTTATCATCCTTGCAACGGAAAAACTTCCCTGAGCTGCGTCGTGGGTGGCATGCGTTTGCGTGTGTGCGGTGCAGGAAAAGTGAGAATGAGAGGAAAAAAAGAAAAAAATAGTGCGACCTGCACGAAGCAAACATGCAGAAGGCCGAAGAGCTAGGCGTGGCGAGAGAGCCGTGACAGGCCTCAGCCCACGCAAAATTCGAGGCAAAACAAAAATAATTTTTTTTTTTTAAAACGAGGTGCAAAATAAAAACTAATGCCTACTCAGACATCCCCAGGTTTGCATCCAAAACTTAAGCAAGGAACAGAGCCCACCTCTTTGCTGCCAGTTGCGTTAGAAGACAGCGGTGACTCCAGGAATCCTTTCTCAACATCTCCCTCCCTTTTACCTCCTCCTATATATTTATCTTACCAATTTTCTCCAAGTAACACCCCCGCACGACCGCTTCTTCTTCACCTCGTTTCTTCGCCGTGGCACATCCTTCGCAGCATCGGAGGGCCGTGCAACTCATGCGCAAACAAATCCACGAATTCCAGACCACCCCCATTCGCACACATTCATGCTTCTACACTCAGAGCAAACTCATAGAAACGTGCTGGAACCTTTCCCAGCCAAACATTGAGAGGCAAGAGACCACCCGTGACCCACTCACGACCACCACCGCACAGGACCGCCCGCAGCGACAAACACGCGACGAAGCAGTTCTATCAAATTGATGGAAATATTTAAAAAGTTCCCAATGAAAATACGTGTACTCTAGGCCCCTCCCTCTCCGCCCCCCGCTCCCCCCCTCCCCACACACGCACATCAGTACGTATGCGGGCAAATGTAAAGAGTTCAGTTCTGAAAAACACAATTTTGACGGTGTGGGGGTGCGACGGCAGGCACCGCACATCAAACACTCTGCATTCCTTCTCCGACCACCACCGACACTCAAAAAATAAATAAATTAAACACACACGCCTGGGTAACACACACACACACACACACACACACACACACACACACACACACACACACGCGTACGTAACACACACACACACACACAATAATATATATATATATATATATA